AGAGAGAATGAGCACCTTGGTGGAACTGGGCTATGCAGGACACAGTGTATTGCTTCCCCACAACAGCCCTTACCCATCATCCAACCATCAAGTCTACTAAACTCACATATCCTTGAAGCAAATAACTGTCAGTGAGGAAACCAAAGATGTGTACTATGGTGGCACCAGTGTGGTACAGGCAACGAGCAAAGTCTAAGCCAAAAAAAAGCAGGGAGGCCAGTGGAGCCTAAGTCATGTCCTACCACCTCTCACAACTCCAACAGTAAACACAAGTAACCTGAGGAAGAGTTATCAACTTTCAAAGGCACACACAGGTGCACGTCCTAACATAAAGGTTACAAAATGACAGTGTTCCCAACTGGAAAGTTTTTTTTTTTCAGGTTTTTCTTTAGGTTATTTGGTAGTTTCATGATTTTCTTTATGTAAGTCCCATATATTTCTAGTTAATATTTATGGTTTTTTACAATTTTTGTTTCCACTGAGAATGAATTTTCATTTGTCATGTTGTGCCCTATGTAAGTTATAGTTTTATATATTCTCTCAATCACTACACCTCACCTTTTCTCCCCAAAAGTAACCGCCATCTTAGCATATACCACCACAGATTAGTTTTACTTATTTTTAAACATGTATATTTATAAAATATAAATGCTGTAGTTATATTGTATATATTCTTTTGTTTGGTGTTTATTGGTGGACCTATGCACATTATTGCACATAACTGTTTACTTACTCTCACTGTTGTGTAGTATTCCACAGCATAAATATAACTCAATTTACTCACACATCTACTGCTGATGGATATTCCTGTTGGAGGCTATTATGAATAGGGATGCTATGAACACTCTTCTACTTACCTTTTGGTGTAGAACCATATGCATTTCCATTGCTATACATCTGAGAGTGAAACTGCTGGGTCTTGGGTATGTTTATGTTCAATTTTAGTAGGTAATACCAAACAGTTTTTCAAAGTAGTTGTATCAATTTATATTCACACTTACATTTCAAAACATGTAAGTATATTCTATCCATTTTAAGAATTAATCATTATTCTATAATTTCCCCCTGCTGAAGACAACTCAGTCCATAGCAGTGTATTACTGTCTCATTACCCACTACCTCCCATTCCTTGCTAATTGGCTAGATGTTTAACTCCAAATTGTTGTTTTTTAATATCATTTCTTTGTGTTTTGCAAAATGTCCTCTTAACAACTACAATAAACATTATAATCAAATTTTTGACAATTACTTAAAGTATGGCTCAATACACTTTTTATAGAGTTTTACTGAATTTAAAAAGTTCAAACTTCTACCTAGAAAAATCTATTTGAAAACTTAAGGGATCCCTAGGTATTATAGAATTAAACATACATAGAAACCAACGTCCAGGAAAGTTTTAATTAAAACCTTGGTTAGTGGTAGAAATAAGTCTAAACCAAACAAGTTGTATATTTTTTTAAAGAATATTCAGAGGAGAGATAAAATAATAATTTCAAATTATATTTTAATCTCATTATTTCTGTTATTAATATTTCTTATGAGAATACCAAATAAAACCACAATTGCTAAATATAAAATCATCTTCTCAAGTTCCAGAACTACTTCTATATTTTATTGCTATGTAATAGAAACTTTTGTATTTTTGCTCTTACCTGATGCCGTTCTTGTTCTTGTCTCTGAGCTTGAACATGCCGAATAGCTAGCTGAGCCTCCACGAAGCGGTGAGTTCCACATGTTGGAGTATGAGGAATAAGATGGGTAGTGCCATGAGTCTGAAAAGGGTGTTGCTGCTCTATAAAGACATAAGTGTGTCAAGTATTTTTCTTGTGCCTTTAATTTTTAAATATCTTCCTATTCCAAAATTATTAAGAAGAAAAAATCCTTATCAAATGTTTTTCCTTAATATTCTAGTATATTAGAGTTAACATGAAATAAATACTATCTTATATTTCTGATATTGTTATGGTCATTGCCACGGGAAATGATAGGGATAAGGACAAAAGTCTTTTTCTGTATTTGCACTCAAATAAAATCTAAATTAAACTACCAAATAATATTGAAGATATTCCAAAATCTGGCTCTAAGTCTTTCTAGCCTTGCTTCTATCATTCTCCTACCAAAGAAAACTAACCATTCTCCAAAGGTTGTATTCTTTCTTGCCTTCTTATTTTCTCATATATCAAATAAGCAGTCTTTTTCCTATCTCATAATATCTATAAGGATGACACAAGAGGAAACGCAATAAAAGAAAATAACATACACAATATTGATCAAAGCACATAAAGTGTATACCTTCTTCATTCCCAGAGAATCTAATAGGGTAATATCACTGTAATTTATTTTCCTTAGCAAATCCAGTCAAATTGTAAACAAAACAAAGAACTCTGAAGAAAAGTTGAATTAAAAACCAAGTGAGATAAATGCAAAGCCTACCTATTGCTGCCAAACAAATATCCTAATATTCCTCCAGTTCCCAAGCCAGTCCAGAATCCTGGTCCTGAACTTTCATATCCTTGTTGTCCTGTGAAAGCACTGCCAAAACCAGAAGTTGCACCATACGGTCCTAGAAATAAAAATGATTTATTATGTATCCTCATTTAAACAAAACGGCCTACAAAACCAGAGATAATATGACATTTCAATTATTTCATCTGTACTATTTAAGAATACTCAGTTCTCAACTTATAAACAAGTTGTATTCAAAAAATCTAACTAAGTAGCACTTTTCCCACAGACATAAAACAAGAGGGATATATTTTATGATTGCAGGATCTTCCTAAAAGGGCACATTTGCTCCTTAAGATCAGCTAGTAGGTGACATTCCCACTTGTCAGAGTTACTTTCTGCATTGTGAACATCTCTAAAAGCTTCAGGTGATAGCTATACTTGAGTGTCTAATGGAAGAATCCAAGTGGAGGCAGCCAGATATTTGTATCATTTGAGAAGTCAGGTCTTAAAGGGACCAAAAAAGTATCTTCTTCTCAGAGGAAGTTTTATAAAATTTACGTATAATATACAGAAAGGAAAGTGTGCTAACTTTACATGTACAGCAAAATAAATGTGTATCTATGTACACACGCATGTAACTACACACATCGATAAAACATTTCTAGCACCTGGAAGCTCCCTCATGACAATTCCCAAATACTCACCCACATCAGAGGTAAGCATTACTCTGATTTCTCTCACCATATTTTAGTTTTATCCATCCCTGAACTCTACAGAATCACACAGTAGGTACCCTTTTATGTCTATGAGAGTCAACACCACTATTGTATATTTTGGGTTTTGGGGTTTTTTAACTGATGTATGGTATTCCATTGTGTGAAATCACAATTTGTCTCATTCTAATGTTTAGGAACATTGTATTGCCAGTTTTTGGCTATTGTGAAGAAAACTGCTATGAACATTCTTGTGCATATTTTTTTAACGTACATATGCATGTATTTCTCTTAGATGTGTATCAAAGAATAGAACTGTTGGGCCATAGGGCAGGCATTTGTTTAGTAGGTATTGACAGTTTCCAAAGCATTTTACCATTTTAACTCCTACCAACAAGTTCCAGTTGACTACATCTTGCTATTACTTAGTACTCTTTTTAATGTTAGCCATTACAGTGGTTATATGCTGGTAAATGAATTCAGCATTGTTTTAATCTTCATTTTCCTCAAGACTAATTATGCTGAGCACCTTTTCATATTTTTATTGGATATCTGGATATCTTCTTTTATTATAAAATAGCTGTTCAAGATCTCTGTCCATTTTTAAAATTCAGTTGTCTGTCTTTTCTCAGATTTGTGGGAGTTCTTTATATGTTCTAGATACACATACTTTATTAGCTATATGTTGGATATTTTCTCCAAATCTGTAGCTTGCCTTTTCACTCTCTCAAAGTTGTCTTTTGAAGACTAGATGTTCTTAATTTAAATAAAGACTAATTTATCCCTCTTTTATGTCTGGTACCTTGTGTGTTCTAAGAAATTTTTGCCTATCCCAATGCCATGACAAATATTTTCCTACATTTTTATCTAGAAACTTAATTGTTTTACCTTTTATGTTGAAATCTATAATACTTACTAAATAAATTTTTGTGTATGGTGTGAGAAAGAGTACAAGGTAAATGTCTATTACCAAATCTAATCATGTTTTTCTGATTTAGATTATTTACAATTTAATCATGCATCCTTAAAACAGTAATCACAACTCTCCTTACGGAGAAACAGAACAGAAAAGATAAAAGAAGTTGAAAGTAAAAAATAAAATGAGAAGACAAATCTGCTTTGGTTTTCCAATGCAACCATTTTCTATTTCAGAAACCGCACGGTATTCATTCCTCTTATCTACCCTACCTGTTGCCACTGCCTAGGCAAACGTACCTGTGAACTCTGACTTAAAGCCTGGGGGAGGTCCTGCTGAGTTGGTGAATCTCTGATAACGATGAGAATATGGAGGATACTCAGAATATGGTGGAGGAGAATCTTGACCATCACTAAGGAACAACTTATAAACTCCAAATGCAATAGCAAGTAGCACCACGATGGTAATCAATCCACTGATGCCACCAGAATTTGAGGAATAAAACTTATTATAATAATTAGAGAAAGAGTTAAAGCCATGGTTTTTTCCAGACTCTCTCAATTTCTTCAGGCCAAGGTCTGTGTAATCTAAGTCATATTCCAAGCCACAGGAACCTCTTAGTACATACTGATCTTCAGAGGATTCATAGCCTTCACAGCTCACCACAGTTTTTCCAAATTTGTACGCAACATCTAAATCAGTCTTACATTCCCACTGTGAAGAAAAGTAGAAATAGGTTATTAGAACCAAAAGATTTTTTTTTCACTTAATATGTATCATTTGGACTACCCAGCTGTCATAAACCAGCAAAACTGATAACAAAATTCAGGACAATGAGTATTTCTGTGCTGGGAGGAGGGCAAGCTAGGGGCCTCGAAGATCTTGGTAACATTAATGTTCGACTTCTTAAGCTACGTGGTGGGTACATGAGTGTTCATTTTATTACTATTCCTTATTGTTTACATATAGATGTAAGAAATTATTTTGTACATATTAAGTACTCCCTAATGTATAAATTTTAAGCAAATTTTCTATATGTCAACTTTCTACCACTGTTTTCCAAGATGTTTTCTTTAAAAATAGAGGTTTTTAAATTGTTAAGGCTCAAATACCAGCATCATATATGAAGACCTGATTGCTATATATAGCATCAGAGACATCATATAATCTTCTGAGAAAAACTTTCCACACAAATTTTTAAAAACCATTGATTAACTTTTCCAGGGTCCAATCCTATAAGTAATTCTCTTAAGATTTTTAATAAGATATTTCAAAAACTGCAAAAAGAATTGATGCTGGCCTCAAACTTTCCACCTTAAAAAAAAAAAGCCTAGGCTTAGTTTAAATTCTGTAACTATTGTCTGAGCTGAATAGGTAATATGCTTCTTTAACAGCATTTAAAGAGACGCAAGCCAAAGTAGACTTGATTGGTTCTATTGCTTTTCTGTAAGTTTTTCTGCAGAAGACAAATTTCTTCTTCTCTCCAATTTCAAATATGCTATTTTAATTTTTATAACAGCTTTGAGATATAATTCATATACCATAAATTCACCCATTTCAATGGTTTTTAATATATTCACAGAATTGTGCGACCATTACCACAATTTTAGGATCATTTCATTGCACCTAAAAGAAATCTCGTATCCATTAGCAGTCGCTCTCTATATTCCCCCAAACCTCCTAGCTCTAGGCAACCACCAATCTGTATCTATGGATTTCCCTATTCTGGATATTTCATGTAAATGGAATCATATAATATGTGGTCCTACGTGACTGGCTTCTTTCCCGTTGGTATTAAAGCTTTGAGGAATGGCAGAAAAAAGACAACTAGAAATCCTCTAATGCCCCTTTCCCCAAGCATATGAAAAGTTATGAAAATTTACTACTGTCTTAGAAGCAAGCTATAGTATAAAAATTACAATGAATATTTCCAGGCCTTAAAATCAGATCGTTTCTTTTGGAGGATGTTTCTTCCAGAGAATGAATAACTGATATATATTTCTATGTTTTAGGTTAACCTGAGATTTTCTATATATGCTTCCTCAAAACAATGAAAAATGCCCCAATAAACACTTTATTGAATAAAAATCCCATTTAGACTGTCACCAACATAATGAATATTACCTGTACATCATAACCATCCCAGCCTTTGTTCTGACACTGAATGACTTTTGGGGTATAAGAATCACATCCTGCTGTGCCTCCAACACATTTCAACTGTGGGACAGGATCCAGCCTACGGGAGGTGGTATAGCGGTCATAGTGGAGGGTAAGAGCTTTTATATCCCGCAACAATATTCTGTCTGAAACAGCAAAAACACAGATGAAGATAGTAAATATCTTGTCAAACACAGAAAGTCATCCACTATTTCATATGAAATACTTTTCAAAAGTATTTTTCTCATCTTCTGAGAATGACTAATAAAGAAAAGATGAAACAATCTCCCAAAGCCATTCTAACAACATTCAGGCTTTTTGCCCCAAATTCAGGTGGTCACACCTTTAAGGCCTCCCTTCATTTCAGTCTGGATGGCCCCCAAAACTGCTTCTATATCACAAGTTCTATATAATTTTTGCAAAATCAGAAAAGTCCATTAACCTTAAACATACTATTATACAACATTAATGGTTAACTAAAAATGGCAAAAAATATACAGCAATGTTCCTGAAACACATTTAATGTCAACAACAAGCAAATGGATTAATAAAATTCTGGCTCAATCATACTGTGGAATATTCTACAGCAGGTAAAATGAGTGAACTAGAACTCATGTATCAGACTAGAAATAGCAAAAACATTTTAAGTAAAAGGCAAGACACAGCATGTTTAGTGTGGTAACTTTACATAAACCTTGAAAACCAGCAAAACAGTGCTCCATATGAATGTCTGTGTGTATATATAATGACAATATGAAAACATGCACAGGAATGATTCCACACCAAATTCAGATGAGTATCTCTGAGGACAGATGGAGAGATGATACTATTTAGCTCTCTATCTCTAATGTTTTATTACTTTTTTTTGGCCGGGCCGGGGAGGGGGGCAGATTTCCTGCAAGTACTATAAAATGTGAAGATTCAATAAAACTGTGAGGTGAATATATGGGTGTTCACTGTATACATGTTTAGACATTTCACAATTTTAAAAGTTAAAAATATTTAAACTATTTTATAATTTTAAAATCGTATTGACAAAAAAGTTTTAAGTGTAATAAGTCAAAACAAAGAAATTATGTCTGGCATTCACATATATAAATGAATTTTAAAGTGAAAATTAAGTCTCGACAGGATAGAACAGGGGTCTGCAACCGCCCCTCTTCCACCCCAGGCCGTACAGCAGGAGTTGAGCAGTGGGTGAGCAAGCGAAGCTTTATCTGTATTTGCAGCCCCTCTCCAGTGCTACTAGCATCACCGCCTTAGCTCCACCTCAGATCATCAGGCATTAGAATCTCACAGGACCACCGGTCGGTCCCTGGTGGCAAAAAGGTTGGGGACTGCTGGCAATAGAAGAAAAAAATGGAGAAATGTCTTCAAAAACTCTAAAGGAAAAGTTTGGCTGGGTATAGAATTTTAGATTGTCACTCAAATTTTCAGGCATATTGGTATGGTACCAAGTAACATTACAGAGGGCTTTGTAGTCACGAATGTGACAAATTTAACTTCACGAGAAAGATAAAAATCACTTTACTCCACCAATTTTGGTATCATTAATGGTAGAACAAATTGATATTATAATACCATCTGTAATATAGTCCTCAAAGGTATTTAATATGAATCTAATCAATTCTTTGATCTAATCTAATTAACTTAAAATACATAGAAGAAAGGCCTTTTGAGCCACACCTCTCTTGCTCAGGCCCACTTCAACATCTGGAAGTGTACTTTCCCTTCTAATAAAGCTTTTCTACTGTAAAAAATATATAAATAAATAAATAGATAGATAGATAGATAGATGAATGAATGAATGAATGAATGAATAAATAAAATGCATGGAAGGAAAAAAAAACAAGCTAAAACACCACCAAGAGAAAACGGAATCCAGAAGGTAGGATATTCTAAAGGAAAACTGGCCCAAACTCTTCAGCAAAAGAGTAGCATGAAAAAAGAAACTGTTCTACATTTAAAAGACGTAAGGGATAATTCAATTAAATGCAATGCATAGTCCTGGATTGGGTCCTGGTTCGAGCAAACTAGCATGGACATGTTAGAGACAAGTGTGATATCTGAATATAGAATGAGTAATTAGTCGATATTAAGAAATTAGGATTAATTTTAAGTGTAATGTTATTTTTACTACATGATGAAAAGTTCCTTTAAAAAAAAAGATAAATACTGAAGGATTTAGGGGTGGCTTGTTATGATGCCTATGCTTTATATTATAATATTTCAACATTAAAAAAAGAGTTGAAAGAAAACCAAGAATATACAAAGACTGATAACTTTCCAATAAAATTTAAAACACCTTTCTCAAATTCCTCCAGTAGATGAAATGAGTATTTGGCTTTTCCAGTATTTACATGGAGGTAGACAAGAAGGTAGAGAATGGCTTCTGAGTAAACATCAGTCTGATACACTTGGTACAAACAAGAGGGGGAAAAAAGCATTTCATTTAGAGTTTTTGGAACTACAAAATTCAAGAGAATTTTCTAAAAGACAACTTTGTTATAGTAAGAGAATTAGATAAAACAGCTGGTTGTTTTATCAATTACCAAGTCAACAGCTTCTTCTATACCTGTAATATACTATCAGAATTGAAAAATGTAAAGCCTATTTCAAATTAATGACAAATTAAATACGTACATAAAATATCTAGAAATAAACTTAAGGTCAAGATGTGATCTTTATATATAAGAAAATATATAAGACCTAATAAATTTAATGCACTTCCAACCAAGACCCCAGTTGGGTTTTGTTTGGTTTTGTTTGCAAGTGGAAAGAAATTATGTTAAAGGCCCTATAGAAAAATTAATGTTTGTAAATACCAAAAGTTTTTTGAAAAAGAACACATTGCTTTACCAGATAATAAAGCTTACTATAAAATTACTATAATCAAAATAGTATGGAATTGGAACAGAAATAGACAAGGGAACTGAGAAACAAAAGTCTAGTAATAAATATTGAATTCCCAGATATATGTAGGAGTTCAATATAAGATAAAGTAGGCTATTTAATATAGTAGAAAAAGAATGCCTTCTTTAATAAACGACACTGGCATAACGGACTATACAGTTAGAAGAAAATCCACCTAAAGCTATATAAAAACTTAATTCCACATGCGCTAAAAATCTAGAAATTCAACTATATTAAAATAAAATGTGCTATATTAAACCCAAACTACCTCCTCATAAATAAAACAATAACAATGAAATGTTCAATGATTTAAAAAGTCAGAAAGTATTATTAAACTAATTAACAGGAATAATTATAACTTGAATTTATTGTAGCAGGGTTGAGATAATGCAAAGAACACTGCAGTCAACTCTCATCACGACTGCTTATATGACTGGCCAAGTCACTTAATTGATCTGTATAAAAGTTTACTCGCCTATAAAATTAAGACAATAAATCAACCTTAAAATTGGTTGAGAAGCTTAGATATGATTACTAAAATTATCTAGCAGAATATTTGAAACCTGATAGGTAATAAAGTATGATATTACTTTATTAAATATTACTAAGAACATTTATGGAACTATATACACATGGGATATTACCATAACCCTACAGCATCTTTCCTCCCTAGAGGTCCTAAAGGTCATTATGTTTTGTGTCCCTCAAAATTCACTTGTTGAAGCCCTGATCACCCATGTGATAGTGTCTGGAGGCAGGGCCTTTGGGAGGTGATTAGTTTTAGATGAGGTCAAGAAGATAGAGCCCCCATGATGGGATTACTGCCCTTATAAGAGGAGGAGACCAGAGCGCTCTTCCCTCCCCCTTTTTCTCCCTCTCCCTCTTTTTCTGCTGTGTGAAGACAATAACAAAAAGATGGCCATCTCCAAACCAGGAGCAAGCCCTCACCAGACACCCAATATACTGGCACCTTGATTATTAGACTTCCCAATCTCCAGGATGTGAGAAATAAATGCTTGTGGTTGTTTAAGCCTCCCTAAGACCATGTTTCTAAGAACCAAATGCTTATACCCATATCCCACTAGTTACATCAATCAAGAGTCACATGAAGTTCCCTGAAGTCCCAACTCATAAATCGAAATCCACTTGAAGTACCAAACTTGATAAATAAAACCAAACACCCCCAAACCTGATTATCTCAGTCTTCCTATCTCAGGAAATGGTAACTCCACACTTCTGGTCACTCAGGCCAAAAACCTTGGCATCATCTTTGTTTTCTTCCCCCGTCTAACCCTATATTGAATCCGTCAGAGTATCATGTCGGTTCCACCTTCAAAACAAGTGAGAAGCCAACCACTCTCACCAACTCCACTGCTCTCTCCTGGCCCAATCCATCACCACTCTTGGAACTTACTGTACCAGCAGCCTCTTCACTGGCCTTCCCGCAGTTCCCCAAACCCCTACAATATGTTTTCCACAGAGCAGACAGAATGAGTCTTTAAAATACAAGTCATAGCAGGTCATTCATGCTACCTCTCCCTTCAGGTTTCTGATCAAATGTCACCTTAACAGTGACATCTTCCCTGACCAACATATATTTTGAAAGTTCCCACTTCTGCCTGCACTGCCTGTCCTCCTTATCCAGTTTTATTGTCCATACCACCATTCACAATACTTATGTAAATAGGTAAACATGCTATTTGTCTACTGTCTATTTCTCAATAGATGCAAACTCCTTGGGGGACAAAACACTCAATTTTGTTCACTGCTATATTCCCAACATGCAGAAGAGTGACTTAAATACAAACTAATTCAATAAAAAATTTTGAAAGTTTTAGGTAATCTCTTTCGAACTGGTACAATTTTTTTCCCCACACAAATTACTGTTCTGTTAGCTAAAGATAAAGTAAGTACATTCAAAATCAAACAAAAGACAAATTAGAAAGTGATTATTGCTTCACTAAAGGACTTGATAAAAGTTAACCCAATAAAATACTTTCATAAAACAGTTAAAGTAAATGTAAGGTAAGGCAGAATTTATAAAAATCAGTTGTATCTACTCTGCAAATATTTTGGTGTTTTTTGTTCCAGAACAATAGTTTCATAGAGTATGCAGACAAAGAGCTACCAGGAAGCTGTTCACCATTAAGTTTGGTTCTCTTTTTTTTATTCCCTGACTCTTCATCTGTAAACTTCTTTTTTTTATTGAAGAACTCATTGAGGATTCAACTTCATGTTTCATTCCAGTTTTTAAATTACAATTTTTATCAAAGTCTCCTTTTTATATACAACTTTCTAAGGAATATGTAAGAAAATGTACATTTAAATCCAACTGTTTTTTTAGTAATAATAAAACATCCACATCAAATGCATTACTCAAAGTCAAAAACTTGCAAGTAGCACCTTCTCTCTCATTTCAGCATTTAGGAATACAATAGTAAATTACAGAAATAAATCTGTTACTTAAGTTCAAAAACATAGGCATTTCCTATTACCAAATCACAAATACAATATTGGTACACTTTACATCATTATTCTTAACATCTTTACTCTTCAGAACAAAAATGAAATTTTAATTGTTTAAAAGTCATTTTTTAATTCCAATTTAACAGCACGTGTCATTCATTAAAAGGAAATCTGTATGTATGTGATATATACATATACGCATATTACAAGGAATATTACTGATCTCATAAAAAAATCTTGAGATAATTCTAATAACAGTATTATAAAAGAAATTTTTCCCTAAAAATCACTTATCATGTCTCATCACAAAAAATAATACCAGTATTTTTTTTAATTCTAGACCACGGTAAAAAAAATAAAATGAGAAAAGCTGGCGTAGCACAATGTACTTCACTGTAATGGTCAGAATAAACAGCATGAGTTCTGCTTGCATAAATATATGATTCTGCTAACCTACCTACAAGATTTAATGCCCTGTCCACTAAGTGTAACTCAGAGACTGCTGGTGTCAGGGCAACTGCCAGCCATAGCAACAGGCAGCCATAACAACAGTCAGCGACGGTCATGACAACAAAGAGATGCGCTAGTGAGTGTCGTGAGTGTTGAACTTTCCAGCCAGACTCTGGGTTGAGGGCTGTAGCCCAAGAAAAGAGAAGGTGGACAATTCTGGGAGTCCAGGGTAGGGAGAAAGGAGATGTTAAGAATACTGTCACTCCGCCCCGCCCACTCCCCAACAGTTCCCACTCTCCTGTAGGACGTCTGGGAAGAGGAAAGGAACCAAGCAGGGCACAGACGAATAATTACGGGAATGAAAAGGAATCAGGGCTGAAAGGCTCAAGGGGCAGCGAACGGAAATGGTCGCCTGCGGAGCCTCTCAAGAGCAGGCTGAAGGCAGCAGAAACAGGAGAGTAAGGACAGCACTCACCGGCGTCGTTCCAGCCCAGGGTAGGGCCCGCGATCAGCAGAAGCAAAAGGAGGCCGAGGAGAGGACTGCGGCGGTCCGTTCCAGGCCCACAGGCCGCGGCCATGGCGCGCGGCTAAGATGGCGCGCCGCGGCCAGATATTCGCAGGCCGGAGCCGGGGCTGCGGAAATCCGCGCGCTGCGGCTTTGCGACACAGCGAGCTCCGGCAGCTGAGCAGGAAACGTCTCTAATCACAGCCGCAGCCGCTACGAAGGTCACTGCGCGGGTCTCGCGTCACCGCTTCTGCAGCGCGTGGGAGAACATGAGTGGACATTGCCGGCCCCGCCCCTGGAGCGTCGCGCGGTTGTGGGCGGAGCGCCACTTGGGGCGGAGCCAATGGCGGGACGCAGAGGCTGTGAGCGGGGCTGAGGACCGCCCTCAGGAGATTGTTTGTGTAGGTGCTGCGGTTGGAGTGAAACCATCACAACGCGAAATCTAAGACGTGTAGTAAGGTTGTTTATTTCCAAAACCTCAATATCCGTCCCCAGGAAAATTACAATGCCTTATTCAACTTTATGTCTTCAGCACCTACCATAGCGCCTGGCACATTATTCATGTTGTTACTATGTGCTAAATACAGAGACGATTCAAGAGAAAGGTAGCATGGAAATACATTGTCTGGTTTCAGAAGCTCAGAACCTTTACATAGTTCCTTATAGGCGGTAGCAGTAAGACTTACAAAGTATCAGAAGGAAAAACTACTGCCTAAATAAAGAACCAGCTAGAGCAAACAGTTCTAAGAGTGCAAAGACATTATCCCTGAGGTATGATATGCTTGGGTTTCTCTCATTCATTCAACATAAATAGGTTGAATGCCTAATATATATCAGGTACTTCTTTAGGCATGGAGGATACAGCCAAGGTTCCTGTACTCATGGAGCTTACTATATTGAAGTGGGATAAGACACACAAAACTAATAAAGATAATAGGTAGTGATAAGTGCATTGATGAAAATAAAACAGGGTGATGCAATAGAGCCGGGGAGGTGACTTCAAAGAGGACCTTGCTGAGGAAGGGATTTCAAAAATTTGAGACT